CGATTTCATGTTATTTTGATTATTATTGATTTAGGATGATTAGTGATTTAGGATAGTTAGTAATTTTGGATAGTTAGGGTTTTATGATTGTTATTGATTTATGATAGTTAGTGATTTATGATTGTTAGTGATTTAGGATAGTTAGGTTAGTGAATTTTTTTGTGATTTACGTAGGTAGTTTTTAGGTTTGAGGTTGTGTGTTCTAGTATAGTTAGGATTTTGGGTTTAAGGATTGATTAGGTATTTATTATTTAGCTTATAGTTAGTTATCTAGTTAGGGATTTTGGGTATAGATACTAGTTTACAAATGTCGGTACTTACTAGTGCGTGATACGTTGATTTTGATGACTTCATGAAGTTTTGTCAAATGCTTATATTCCTAGTGAAGTTGTTTATGTTACTAGTGCGTGATATGTCTGTTAATGTTACTTTGAATATATACATGTGCTTTCATATTGTGTTCGTATTACATAACAAGTAATTCAAATTTTGCAATGCTACATAATGTTCATTTAAAATTTATTAATTTGAATACTCTAATGCTTTGTTTATCAATTTGTAATAGGATGGCCCCTCCCACGCAGCACCCGTTGTACCCCATTCTTGAGGTGGAGTACGACGACCAGCACCGAGCACACATCTTAAGTGACAACGACGCAGAGGTGGCCTTGCCTACTTTTAGGCCCCGCACGCACACCAGGGCGCACTAGTGGGGCGAGCGTTACGCGTCGTACATACGGCGTGCTGGCTTCATCGAGCTTGTCCATGTTGTTAACCACGGTCTTCCGCTCTTTGACCCAGCACTACTTACTGCAGATGTAGACAGGTGCAAGTGCATTCTTTGTACGTAAACTTTCTTGTAGCAAATTTGAGGCAACTAACAGTCGTTCTATTCTTATAACAGGTGGAGGCCTGAGACCCACACATTCCACCTACCTTGTGGCGAGATGACCTTGACCATGCAGGACGTGAAGGCTATTTTTGGCCTTCAGTTGGGGGGACTTCCAGTGACAGGGATAGTTGACAACAATCACTGGAGGAAGCTGGTGGCTCAATTTACTGGCTTTCTTCCACCGGACGACGAGGCTTCCAAGAAAAATAAGTGAGAAATTCAAGCCTATTTAATACTTGCATTGCTTTCCTGCAGCCATCGGGTCTCATTTTCTTTGGTAAATTTCAGGAAAACTTCCGGTGTTTCGTCGTCCTAGATCACGGAGCGCTTTGATTACTTGGACCCACAGGCTGAGGAGGCTCAGATCGACAGGTTCGCTCGAGTGTGGCTCTGGCACTTTCTTGTTGCTTTCCTCTTCCCAGATGCCTCAGGCAACACCATCAGCTGGATCTTCCTTGACATACTACGCTAGCCATGGGAGAACATAGCGGCATACAGCTAGGGCACCGCAGTCCAAGCATGGACATATCGACGGCTATGCGTTGCCTGCCGTTGCACCTTAGGGTACATGAACCTTAGGGGTTGCTCGTACCTACTCCTAGTTTGGTGTTGGGAACGATGGCCTGTTGGGAGGCCCCTTAATACTGGTTTACCGGTAAGTACTTCGGTTCGTTATATTCTTCGATATGGTTACATATGATGAGTTTATTAATGGCTAATTCATTATCGTGTTCAATGCAGCAATGGAACGGGCAGGATACACTCCCTACAACTCTGTTTATCTGGACGGAATCAGAGTTAGTTAGAGGGAATGCGAGGCGCAAGTACAAGGAGTACATGAACGGTCTCGACGTCCTGACACAGCACCAGGTTATGCTCTCTTTACTATCATACATGTGTCTTGTTCGATCTACACTATATCACAACCTAACTCAATTACAAAATGTTTAGGTGCATTGGTGTCCTTGGGATGCTCCGGAGCTCCAGTACTATCACAGTCCTGTCACTAGGGACGAGTTAGAGGAGTATCGCTGCAACGTCCCTCTTATTTTCTTCCACGTGGTCGAGATTCACTTGCCCATCAGGGTCTGCAGATGGTTTGGAAGAATGACAGGCTGCCCACCACTGCTTTACTCCACCAACCAAGAATTGCACGGGTGCGTTATCGATTAATAACAAAGCTACAATTCAGAGGTGTGTGTGGTACAACTACATTATTTTATTGTAGGTATGACCGCAGGAAGAGATACAAGACCAAGGATTGGCGCGTGACACACAACGCGCACATCCACTTGTGGAAGACCAGGGAACGGTAGCCGGTCCATGCGGGTCCTCCACACGACCAGCACACCTTCGACGAGTACCTACGCTGGCTTCACATGTCTACAAGGACACATATCAAGCCCCCATACACTGAGGAGGCGATTGATGAGGACTCAGAGGAAGATGTGATCGAAGATGTGTACGATGTTGCCACTAGAGATGACACACAGCTATAGAGAGCCCCGCTACAAAGATACGTGGTAAGATACTTGAATGGTACAAGTTGTTATCCATTTGGTATTAAGTATGTATACTAAAACTGTTCAACCGCGTTTCTGTACCCAAGCGACATAATTGTCGAGGCTGTCCAACGAAGCAGCGTTCCGGCTTCACGAGTCTAGAGGGCAGGGGGCAGGCGTTCTCGAGGCTTTTGTGGAGGTAAACATAAACTAGCTCATTCCAAAAATGTTTCTTTAGTGTATATGCATTTGGAAAATACACTAACTTTAACGTCTATTTATGCAGAAGGTGAAGAAGAGCTGTAGGAAGCTAGCTCAAAAGCTGAGCTGCATTGACACTCCTTATGAGGAACCGCCACTCCCGGCGTGGTCGGGTGGCACGTCTTCAGTCTCTTTGAGGACACCAGCCGGCTCTTCTCAGCTGGTGATAGGTGCCACTTCTGCGGTGCGTACACCACCACATCATAGCGCTGGGAAGGACCCTGCAATCGAGGACGATGATGACCCCCCGGGCTTCCGTAGAAAGCACGACCAGTGGGACGATTGGCCTCAGGATGAGATCGGCATGTCTCAGCTAGGTGATGCCCCGCTTGGTATCCAAAGAGCCTCACAAGTACTAACAAAGATAGTTTCTTTAAATACGTAGGGTACATGAACTAACGATCATAAAGAATTCTAAGTAATCGTGCATATCATATACTTGCAGGGTACGAGCCGTACGTACCGGCGACGCGACCACATCGACGTTGGCTACACTCCCAATGTGTTGCCAACAAATTCGAAAAGACAGAGGCATCCGAGAGATCCTTACACTCCTGGGTCTTAGTTTGTTAGATCGAACTATTATTGGCGTCCGAAACTTGCAGGCTTAGTTGGTTATGTTATGTCGAACTTATGTCAAACCAATAAAAATGTTATGTGGCAGCTTGTCAACTTGCGCACGGACTTCATTTATTTGCTTCATATTCGTTTCAATACGTCGCGGCATCACTGCATGCGAGATTAAGTAGCAACTAGTTCAGAAACCGACAATCCCAGGGTATCTCGACGCCGGTGGCCAGCGTCTTGCACGAGGGGTCGAGGAAGCCGGGGTCCATGGTCACGTCGCCGCCGATCCTACAATATGAGGCCAAAAAGCCAAATAAATAAGTTCCCTTAAAAAAATATTTGTTTCAATCCGATCCAATATTTCGTAATCGATTAGTTAACATGGTTGTTAACCGTATTATGAAAGACGAAAAAAAAATCATTGGCTTATCAAATTATCTATTCAGTCGTAAAAAAAATTCAACAAAAGATAGAAACAAATCCACTATTGATTTTACGTCAAGCAATACTTAGAATAACTCCCACTATCGGCACGACGCGTTCCGATTAAACCGTCCAAGTACCGCCGGGCGGGCGAAGGGCGCGGCGGCTAGGCGGGCTTGCTGCTCAGGCAGTCAGAATTGGCCGTGTGGTTTTATTCGGCTCTGCCGCGCCACGGATCAGGGCGCGGCACTGCCACGGTCGGTGGCGCGACAGGCCCTGCCATGTCAACGGTCAGCGAATCCAGTCACCGCCACGTTAGCCCTCTGCCGCGCACCATGCATGGCGCGGCACAGGCATTTGGCCGCGCCAGGGCAATAGGCGCGGCAAAAAGTGTTAGTTTAAAAAAAATTGGCAGTGTTAGATTTAAAATTAGTTTTCAAAAAGTGTTAAAATTAAAAAAAAATTCTCACAGGAGAGCATATTTTAGGAAATTAGCCATGTGAACGGAATGGCACGGGATGCTTCATAGAAATACCCTGAGAACAAATCCAAGGCACGGGACAAGCTTCCAGAATTCCCTGCACATGCCTCATAGTTCGGTCGTCGTCCTCTTCGCCTGGGTGGTCAGCAGAGCACGTGCATTTGGTGGAGAGGAAACGCCTGCAGTTTTGGAGACTAGACCACTGCAGTGCTGCGGTTCTCTGCATTTTTTAGCTGAAAACCACGGGCACGCCCATGGAGAACAGTCAAACAGCAGGTGCAAAGCAAACTGAAATCATAAGGCACAAAAGACTATCAAATGGAGATTCCAGTCAAATAAAGTTTGCATATACAATTATCAGTCATGAATGACACATTTTTTAACAGTCAACAAAGGGTAAAAGGATTCCCCATATGAATACATTGCCCTCACTGGAGACTGGAGAGGCAATGCAAGTCACCACTCACAATTTACAGATTGTCAGAGTTTAGATCATGGGGAGACAGAGCATTACACCAATGAGTTAGAACAAAACCGAGAGGAGTGCATGAAGTAGCAAAAGAGCATTATCTTTATAATTCTCTGAAAAGGAATGTAATAGGTCATGGCCCATAACCATCCTCTTAAAATTCACATAGAAATTAACTATACAGCGCTCAAAAACACATTACAGTTGATATATGATGGTAAAACCATGTCAGCATAAGATCAGCTGGAGAGAAACATGCGGCACCATAAGAAACTAAAAAACAGTTATGTGCTCAACATACAGTACTTCTAGTTGTCAGACTAGCAGAACAAAGACTGTTGATATGTAAGTTTGCGATCTGCTGCCTCTATGCTTGGAGCATTCATGTTTTCTGCATATTTTTGCTCAGCTATGAATAGCAACTCCAAATATTTGATTTGTTCCCTTGAACATCCCATTTCCAGTCTTGTGTTCGTCGAATTTCCGATGTAGCTGCAGAGCTGCTAACTGTTTTTCCTTTTCTTTCTGAATCCAGTCCATAATTGTGCCCTGCAGCTGGACAGGCGCATGTGCAACCCACAGGTTGAGGAATTGAAAAATCGTACTTGTTTGCCTCCCTATCTCCTGATCATGCCATTGCAACATCTTTCCTTTCCTAGGCCCCTGAGAAGTCCTCATGCTTGTTCTCTGTGTGCGCATGCTTGCCTTCTCAACCTGAATATATGCAGCACCATGTTTTAATTTCCAAAGCATTTGGTAGACTGCCACTTCATCATTCTTGCAGAAGTAATCTAGTGCCTTTGGCAGCATGATCTCTTCCAGTTGTCCCAAGGTAAAGTCTGTATGCAAGAAATGCTGCTCCTCACTGTAGATCACCGGTACTGCTGGAGTTCTATCCACATGTAGGATGTCTTCTAAACATCCATGGGGGGTAACTAGGAGTCCAACTTTCAGATATGGAGAATCTTGTAGAGAATATTTGGTTTCAGACATTAAGGACCTATGTTGGTCGCAGTCCAAGACTGAGACATGGCACTGCTGATGTACTTCAATAACTGATTCCAGAAAAACATCTGGTAATCTTGACTTGTTTAACTTCCTATTACCATGACAGAGCTTGTGTTGATCATGCTGTTTGCAACATAGTAGGTTTGGGCGAAACCTGTTATGACCGGGCTGCAGTACTTCAGGCGCCGGCCCAATAGTGGCTAATAAGCCATATTTATTAATTTCGGGATTTATTTCTATATAATTAGCAGATGACTTGAGGGGTTAATTAGCAAAAGGATATTTAGTTCTACAAATACTTTGTAATAAGGATTATTGAGATTAAGCAGAAACAATCTATTGTTTCCGGCTTCTCTTGGGAGCCGGGAGTGAACAGTGCCGCCGTTACTGTAGCTGCGCGAGGGTTCTAGGGCTACAGCCGCAGCCGCCGCTCCCTCGCTGCAGCCACGGCACCACCTCGCCGCCGATCGACGCTCAAGCCTCGCCCTCCGATCGTTCACTCCTACAACCTCAGATCGGTACGAGGGAGAGCGCAGCAGCATATCAAAACCAATCAGTGCCAAACCTGTGAAGAATATCCCAATGTTCTTTGTGATGTGTATCAATATCTGGCACCCATGAGAAATCTTCTGTAGGTAGATGCAGAAGTTTATTTCTAACCGTTTCAACTGCAGACTTGAAATTGAAAAGAGGGGCATATAGCTGTAGGCACTTAATTGCCATCCCTACTATGTCAGTACTCTCTGAAAGCTGTAGCATTAAAGAAAAGAAAAAGTCATCCTCTGATGCATTACGATCTTTCTGCATAAAGATGAGTCTAGCCTCTACTCCATACTCTGCAGTAATATACGGCACCAACTGTAGAAACAAAGGGCGCCTGTTTGCTTGAAGGATTCGGTGCTGTAGTTTCTTGCCATTCAGAAGATGCCTGACAAGAGGGTCAAAGGGCATGTGGTGGCGTGGCCTGCCACCAAGCTCTAGTAATCTGAGAAACTCGCTAGCACGGTCTGCAAACCACTCGAACCTTCGAACAGTGGAGCTGTTCGATTCGTCTTTGTTGGGGCCAAAGATGGAGAAAACAAAAGACTTGGTAGTATGCGCTATACGTACAGGAAACGAGGAGTTTCTCACCTCCTTCTCTGTCTGTTCCTCTTCTAGGATCCTCTTCGTGCATCTATGCAGCGTGTCATCACACTCCTGAGCAGCACGCTTCAGCTTCCCACGCCAGCGCAGCAAGGCTGCATCAGTGATCTGCACTTCTCTGACGTCTCAAGAGCAGCCTCCAGACTGATGTGTGCCATCTCTAGCCTCTCCAGGTTTCTGTTCGCACTCAATTCCTCTTTATCCTCATATTTTTGAACCAGATTGGATACGATCTGGCTGACTGTCTCGTGGACAAGTGCAGAGCTGACAACCTCTGCCATCAGGATTCAAGGATCTGTAGTATCCCTACCCTGTTCAAAAAATTTCAACATATAACAGCATACATGAGAGACTAAACATATGAACTTTGGATCAGAAGCAAAGATTTAGCTTAGCAACTGTAGGATCATACCTCAGACTTGATCACATGGACAGCTATCCTTTTCATGTAGAGATATCTCGAGTCCCAATCATACAGCGAGGCAAGATGAGAACTTGAAGAGAATGCAGTGATATCAGAGACTTTGAAGGGGGAAAACAGGTAGGCAAGTCCAATAATTGGTCTCTGCAGGGGAAAAAGAGGTAGGCCATTACCTCAAAAGTTAAAAATGAGAGTCTGCACGTGGTTACACATTTGGATATATAATATAATATAATATAATATAATAGGACAGCAGGAACGTAGTGGAGGAAAGTAGGAGAAGGTGCGTTCAAAGTCGTGTGGAAAAACAAAGAATGAAGGTTGGTGTGATAAACCCCAACGGCAGGGAAAGACAGTGGAATGCAACTTGAGCATATTTTAAAAGGCCCTGGCCTCTCAGATACTTAAAACAATACGCAACTTGGAATTCCTTGTCAGGTGTCTTGGTTAGCAGTGGACAATGAGCTTGGAACTTTTTTTTACGAGTTTTGTTTAGCAGTGGCGGTTTCTAGTAGATGAAGCCAACATTAAGTCTCTGTAAATTCATATTTCTTACCACGCACTGATTCACTGATGCATGATTAACTCACAACAATTTTCCATGTCTCCCATCATTTTATTTGCTTGCTTGATTGATGCCATGGAAGTTGGTTAAAACAGAATACTGTCAGTAAAATGGACTGTGTTTCTGAAAGCCAGATGCCCAGATCCAGAGGTACAAGATTGAAGCGCCAGGTAGCGAGCCGTCGTGTCTGTCCCAGCCTCCCAGGCACAGACTCCAGCTACAGACACTCTGGTTTCCGAAAGCAGAGCAGCAGGCAGAGGAAGCGCGGAAGGGAATAGGTTGTGTGCCTGCCCCTGCCCGGCTCCGGCTGCTCCGTGAGGTGGGGAGCAAATCGCGCGTACCTGGAGTGCGCTTGCGTGAGGTGAGACTGGGAGCGTCTCGAACGCCATCTCCGGTCCCTCTCGGCTCGCGCTCCTCCTCCACGGTGCCGTCTCTCTCCTCTCCTACCGCCGTTCTCCGCTCCGCCCCAGCGTGTACCCGCCATGGCCGTGCGGCCCAGGTTGAGAGAGTCTGCCTGCATCTCTTCCTGTTCCAGGCGACTAGGCAAAGTGTGGTGGTGGCATGGGCCGGGTGCCGGGCCCAGAGTCTTGAGCCTTCTTCGGTTGCTCCAACGGCCCAACGTGTCATTATGGTATGTGTGGAAAAAAAATTCGGAAATTGGTTTCGTATTTTTTCAGGTAAAATAAATTTCTAAAATTAGAACAGATTTTGGGATTTTAAATTACAATACACAGTCCACCTAAACGGTCATTTAGCCGGTGTATACAACATTAAATGCTATATAGTGGTACATCGTTTTTGTTTAATTGGTTGTTTAGCCTAGCCGTTTAGCTTGTTAAACGGTATAAAGTGATACACCGTTTTTGTTTAGTCGACTGTTTAGCTTGTTTAAATAGCCGTTTTGCCCTTTAAATAGTCATTTAGCGTTTAGGTTAACAAAAAAATCATAATTTTCAAAAAAAAAATGTTGGGTAACTTTTTGAAGATTTATTTCTTAAAGTCTATTCGACCCCTGAACTGTCATGCAATCTAATTTACCTCCCTCATGGCCGATGTGGTGTTGTAATTGAAGGATCCAGAACATTTTGTTTTCTAATTCAATCACAACAATAGTCAAAAGGAGGTCAGAAAGAATTTTTTTTTCTCTCCTATTATTGGTGACTAGGCGAGTGTGTCATGGGCGAGGCCTAGAGTTTTTAGCATTCTTCGTTTGCTCCAGCGGCCCACCATGTCATTATTACTTCAAAAGCTTTCAAGGCTTGTCTTACCATTTATTCTTCGCCAGTACTCAAGTTACTGTCAAATGGTTGTATGTGTAGGAACACTCTTAGTTTCCTGCTTAGTAGTAACGTGGGCTTTAACTTGTCACATCCAAATTCTATTTATTTTGCAATGCAACCTGAGAATATGGACTTGATAGTTTTCCGTCAGAATATCAGTGGGAACGACTTGGAACGTTTGGAAGGAAAGGAATAGAAGAATCTTTGAAGGTAAGAGCCTATTTGATTGGCGACCAAAACTTGCCATGCTAACCTTCGGTAAACTGTGGCTGCCACAGAAAGTGTGGCGAGTAAAATCGAAGTCAAACTTGTGGTAAGTTATGGCACGAAAATGAGTCTATGACATGTGGGGCAGGGTGCTAAGAAAGTTCGCCGTGCCATAACTATGGCAGTGAACCAAACAGCTACCTAAGAAACTATGGCATGACCAATCTTTGGCGTGGCAAGCTTTGGTCTCTAACCAAACACCAGGCCCTGCCAAACACGCCCTAAGTCTAACTCGCCACCTCAGGTCTTTGGGCTGACAAAAAGGAGATGGTGCTGAGGAGAGTATAGCTTCCATGGATCCAGTGAGACTAGTGCTACTCATTTTCCTTCTAGTGCTTTGTGTGTTTTTTCTTATATGTAACCAAACGTTTTCTCTCCTTGAATGATTGTGTCGTGCTCCTGCAAATCACTCAAGGAAAAGTAAAATGTTCTGGATTCAATAATACAGAACAGCTAATAATTAAACATATAAAATTTTAAAGTTTAGTTCCTCAACTGTATTAGGTAATTGTACTATGTGATTACACACAAAAACGACATTTGCAGTGCAGTTGCATCTTTCATTTATTTGTATGATGCAATTAGATGGATAATAATATAATCATCCAACATCCACTGTAAGATCCAAATGGTGATTAATAAACACCACGATACAGAATGCACACATACATTATTCCTAATTCAGAACAGAGTTCTCCACTAAGACCAACATTATACTAATATTATACACAAGTCACTAGTGTGGTGAGTAACACTGAAATTCCTCCGTGCTGTAGCTCTGCTTCTGTGTTGAGTCTTCGACCCTGTAGTCGGAGCATATGTCCCAAATTCGAGATGTGAAAATATGTGTACTCTGTTCGTTTGACATATCTGTTCTTGGTCATGAACAGTAAATCCACACTTTGATCCTTTCATGGAAGAGTCCATTCTTTTATTTCTCCACCGTTTGCTGATCGATCCATAGTTGATATATCTGATCAAGAATTTCAGGCGGCAGTGATGTGTTGCTTGTGTTTTTCCTTTACTTCCTGATACCAGTCCATGATCGAGCCTTCGAGTTGGATGGATGCATGAGAAGTCCATAAGTCAAGGAAGCGAGAGGCCCAATATGTCACGCACTCGAACTCCTCATCCAGTCCTTGGAACAGCTTTCTTCTCTTAGCTCCATGAAACGTTCACCGTGTGCTTGGCATGAAGATGCTTGCTCTTTCAACCTGAATGTATGCAGTGCCATGCTTAGACCTCCAAAGCATTTGGTAGACTGTTGCTTCCTCATTCTGGCAGAAGAAATCTATTGCTTTTGGCAGCATGATCTGCTCAAGTTGTCCCAAGTCAAATACAGTATGCAAACAATGTTGCTCCTCACTGTTTGTTGCTGCTATTGCAGGAAACTTATCCACAAGCAACATGTCTTCTGAGGAGCCATGTGGTGCAAAGAGGACTCCAGCTCTCTGATATGGATAATCACGTAGAGAACTTCTACACTCGGACAGTGAAGCCCTCTGTTTGTCGGACTCTGAGAGTGAGACTTGGCACCACAGACCTACATGAATAACCGGTTCTAGAGAAACATATGGTAATCCAGATGACTTGTCTAGCTTGCTACTATGACAAAGTTTGTGCTTATCATGCTGCTTGCAACATAATGGGTTTGGGCGAAACCATTGACTGCCAAATCTGTGAACATTGTCCCAATATTTTTTCTGGTGTGAATCAACATATGGTACCCACGAGAAGTCTTCAGTTGGTAGTTGCATAAGCCTTTTCCTAATATTTTCAACCGTAGACATGAAAAGAGGGGCAAACAGTTGTAAGCACTGAATTGCAACCCCAACTATGTCTGTACCCTCCGAAAGCTGTAGCGTTACAGAAAAGCAAAAATCGTCATCCGGCACATTACGATCTTTCTGCATGAAGAAAAGCCTACCTTCTATTCCATGCTCTGCACTAATAAATGGCGCCAACAGTAGAAACAAAGGGCATTTGTTTGCCCTAATGATTCTATGTTGTAGTATCTTGCCAGCAAGAAGGTGCCTGATAAGAGGGTCAAAGGGCATGTGACACCGGGGTGTGCCACCAAGCTCTAGTAATCTCAGAAACTCGGTAGCACCATCAGCAAACCATTCAAATCTTTGAACAATGGATCTATTCAAGTCGTCGTTGTCATGGTTAAAGATAGAAGAAACGAATGACCTGGTAGCATGCACAACACGCTTAGGAAGGGAGGAATTACTTACTTCCTTTTCTATGTGTTCATCTTCTAGGATTCTCTGCCTGCATCTGTGCAGCGTGTCATCGCACTCTTGAGCAACAGACTTAAGCTTCCTACGCCAACGCAACAAGGATGTATCAGTGATATCCCACTTATCAGATGTCTGAAGAACAACCTCCAGCCTGATGTGTGCCATCTCTAGCCTCTCAAGGTTTCTGAACGCATATGAGTTCTGTTTCTCCTCATATTTTTGAAGCAGACCAGATAGGATTTTGCCAACTGACTCCTGAACAACCGCAGAACTGACAATCTCCGCCATTAGGATTCAAGCATCTGCAGTATCCCTTCCATGTTCACGATATTCAACATGTAACAGTATCAATGAGAGATTTGATACATGAACTTTGGATGACAGGGGAAGAAACTACCTTTGATTGAATTGCATGGTCGTGAATGGTGGACAGCTTGTCTTGAGGGCAAAATCCCACCGTGTGTTAAGAAGGGAACTTAAAGAGAAGGCAGTGATGTCCAAGGGCAAAATCCCACCGTGTGTTAAGAAGGGAACTTAAAGAGAAGGCAGTGATGTCCAAGGCTTAGAGTGGGGAAAGTGGTAGACAATCCTGATAGAGAGGACCGAGGTGTCGTGTTGATGTTGGTCTCTGCAATGGAATCTTTTGTCAAGAAGTGTTCGTCAATGATGAGAACCTCTATAGCTAATTAGTTCCATGTTTGAATATAATAAGCCAACAGGCATCAAGTGGACAGATGTGGAAGAGTTGCACTGAAGTCATGTGGAAAATCAAATGGATAATAGTGTGGTCACAATTCACAAACATGGACAGGAAAAGAAGGTGGAATACAGCCTGAAAATATTCCATCCCACACACAGCAGTAGAAAAGGAACTTGGAAAAGTCATGGCAATTTCTGGTAGGTGAAGCCAAAATATGAGTCTTTGTCAGTTCATTTTCATGCCATGCTAGTCTGTTGACCGATGCCAGATCAACTCACTAGCATTTTCTCTTATTTCAATCATGTTCCCCCTAATTGCTTGATGCCGTGTAAATTCGGTCCAACGAACTACTGTCAGAGTGTCAGTGGAAAATGACACTGTTTGATACACAAAACTGCAACTGAGGGGAAAAAGGGACCATGTCTGTATAAAATCGAACACAAATCTGCAACTGAGGAAAATAAAAGGGATTATCTCTGATGAATAAAATGGATCAAAAATACGCCAAAGAAGATCATAACCCCATCAAGCTAAAGGAAAAAGTCTACTTAACCCCCCACCTTTTATACTTGGTCTACTTCACCCCCAACTATAAAACCGTCTGTTTTACCCCCTGAACTTTCTAAAACCGTCTATTTTACCCCCTGGGCGGTTTTCAGCGACGGGTTTGCTACAGTAACAGCGGGTTTTGAATTTTCTTTTTTTTCGGTGAATTTTTGAAAAATCATAGAAAAATCATAAAATGAAAAATCTAATTTTATTGGACTCCACATGAGTAGATCTACACAGTGAATATATAATACGGTATGCTTTAGTATAATTTTTTTGTAGCTTTAGATTAATTGGAAAATCCAATTTTGTCTGTAATTAATTAGAATTTATCTATAACTAAGTTATAC